CTCGCTCTTTGTCTCTCGCAGAGGCTTCGGGTTCGTTACGTTCGCGGATCCGGCGAGTGTAGACAAAGTGCTGGCCCAGCCGCACCACGAGCTGGACTCCAAGACGGTAGGTGCTGCGGGGGGCTGCCCGCCGCCCTGCCCGGCACGCCGGGGACGCGACCCGGCCGCGCCGAGCCCCGCTCGGGCCGCTCGCAGCCTGTCATTGAACCGGGACCTTGCGCGGCTCGGCTTCGCCTTCATATTTTTTTTATAGACTCTGCCTTTTAACTTACCGAAAGCGGTAACTTTAGGGGTTTTTTTTTTGTTTTTGTTTTTGTTTTTTGGGTTTTTTTTTTTCCGAAATCTGAATTCGCCCATACCGACCGCTGGCTCCTCCCCTGGCCTTATATTTTATTGAGCGGTGACATTGAAAAAGCTGTGGAGTAAAATCCAACTTTTTTGGTGTTGGGCTGCGGCATGCTTTCTGCAGGGAACTTCGTGATTCTTTTGATTGATTATTTATGTATTGTTAAGCGCGTTTCAAGGTGGGAGTGACTTACTGTCAATCCGTGAAAGCTGCTGCTCGTGTCATTTCCCAAAGTCATTTTTTGGAGAGGTCCCCTCACCTGTGATGGCAGGGCCCCTGCGAAATGCACGCGGTAATTTCTGGGAAGCTCTGCAAGAGCTGGAGAGTGGATGTGGTAGAGAAGCACAAGTCCTAATGTGTTGTTGTTTCTCCAGAGCTTTTTGCTGCGCTTAGTCTCCAGTGCATAATATAAAGAAAAAAAAAATGCTTGTGAGATGCAGCTGATTTTTATTTTTATTTTTTTTTTAATAAACATTACATTTGTGTGGGATTTTTTAGAACAAAAATTCCACACCTGAGTTTTCCCCCTGCCCCAATATGGTGTTTTCAGTGTTGGGTCAAACAAAAGGTATCGGGCAAGTGCAGCTCTGGGCCCTGTTTTCTCCCCGTGATCAAGGCCAAGCAAAAAGATGAAGTTTTGTGCCTCTTGACTTCGTTGTAGTTTTCAGCCTCGGCAGAGCTGGGAGGGGAGGGGGGAAGGACACTGCTAGAGGTCATCAGTGCTGCTGGCTCTGGAGGGGGCTGTGTTTTGGGAAGGGAAGGCTCCTGCTGCTGGAAGTGTCTGCACAGACATTCTGCTGGGCACATCGAGCCTGGTCCTCACTGTCCCTGCGCTTTAGAGTCTGTGCTCTGGGGCTTAAGGGTTTTATTTTAACCTGAGCCTGGTGTTAGGGGCAATCCTGTCTCGGTGCTGCATCTCACGGGCGCCTCTGTGTGCGAGATTATAGTTAAATGAAGAAAGGGAGAAGCAGGGAGCAAACGTGAGGATATGTTTTTTTAAAAATGTAATTTATATGGAAACAAAAAGCCTAAAGCTCTTGTAGAAGCAGGTGGAATCTAGTGTTTTAATTCGACCTACAGATTCTGCTGGGCTTGCCTGAACACGAAGCCCATGCTTTCACATGCCTTAATAATTTGATTTTAGGTTTAATCAGATATGGTAAGATAACTGATTCAACCGTGCTCCTGAAATTAAACTCACCAGACTTTTCATGTACAGCTATATTCTCTATGTGTTTTTAAAGATAAATTTAGATAAGAAGAACAAAGGCAAACAGTATCTTGAACGAGAGTTTAAAAAAAAAATTCATGGGAGGACACCCTGTCATATTTCTGACTATAATTAGGTCCTCCCCCAGCTTTTTTCTTGTATCACAGTCTAGTCCCTGCAATGTATTAATTTGCTCTTCTCTGGGGGAGGGGTGAAGAGCTTCACCAGGGCAAATCTGCCTCGGTTTTGATTGTGTGATAATGATTGAATCAATCCAAATACAAAACTGGCCTCAGAATCAGTAACAGCTTAAAAGTAAGGCAGGAGGCAGGCAGGTCCTTTCAGGCTTGTATTTGTAGAGAATTGTAGTAACTGTTGTGCAGTATAACAAGGCATTTGACTCTGTTTCAACGTTCAGCACAGGAGGCAGATCGGTTGGGTATTGGCATGGAAACGTCGCTCTTGTTTACAGTTACGTTAAAAGCTTTGTTTAGGTAATGGCCATTCATATCAGAAATAGTATTATAGTCATTTCCTAGAGGACTTGTAGATACAGTAAGTAGAATTGTACCTAACTAACTAATTTTTTTTGGTAGAACTTTGGTTTTTGTTTTGGTTTCTTTTTTTTTTTTTTTTTTCTTTTCCTTTTTGGTTGTTGTTTAAATAGTTGACAGGGGTTATGCAAAAGGTATGGATTTGTCACATTCATTGCTAGCGTTTGTCTTCAAAGGCTGATGATGTTTATCCCAAAGGTTTTGGGAAGGAAAATTCAGTTCTTTTAGAAAATCTGTCGTTGTGGTGCAAGGGACTCCATGCTCTTTGAACTGACCTTCAAAAATGAATGTGTTGCTTTGGAGTTAATGGCTCTCCCAGCCTTTTACCAGCAGGACTTTGCAGTGATGTCCCTCTGGTGGGCCTGGTGTTCTTTGGTGGGAAAACTTGTAGTTTTGGAGCAAACATAGAAATGTGCATATTTTTCCACCTTTGGGTATTGCTGTGGAAAATCCGTACCTGTTGTATTTCCCCAGTAGACAAATGCCTAGTCAGTGCTGAATATATTTGTAGATAATGTTAATCTCTATGAAAAGGTTAGCTTTCTAGATAAATAATTTTACTTTTTATGCTTTTTGAACAATAAAGTGGCATGTAATCGCTCATTTCTCAGGTGTGTCCTAAAAAAAGATACAATATTTGTGTCTGATGGAGGCAAATCAGTTTATCAGTTGCACATCAAATGTCTGCGGTATTTCCCATTTTGACAAATTAATTGAGTAAAACTGCTTTTTAGGAGAGGCCTGTGGTTATTTAGCAGTGACAGGAATATTTATCACCACAAGAATAACAATACCAAAAGGAAACATCTCCTCTTCTTCTTCAGGGTTTGCTTGAGGTGGGGGGAAACACAACCAAAACCAAACCCAAACTCTGAGAGAAAGCCTGTTTTTTCTGAATATGCTGAACACAGCCAGCATTAGTGGCAGCAGTTGGTTGTACAGGCAAGGACAGCACTGAAAGCAGTTGCAGGTTGCACAGTTCAGGTAGGATCTAATACTTTGACACCTCCTTTTGCAGAGCCTTTATGTGGGAGATGTCAGGTGCAGGTGGTGCTGAGAAGCAGAAGTGAGAGCAGCAGCAGCCGGGCTCTGTGCTGTGATTTAGGGGGGCTCTTGTTAAGGCTCTGATGTTGGTGTTTACATCCAGCCCCGTGCCTGCCTGCTCCCTCCTAACGCCACAGCCTGCCATTGCGTCTGCCGTGGTGCCTTTCTGCTTTCAGGGAATTTTTGAATGGGAGAGAGGAGTCCCTTTTTAGAGATGACCCCTGTGGAAGTTGTGTGTGAGGGTGCAGAATTAGCATTTTGGAATGCAGAGGGGACGTGCTAATTCATGCAGTGCAAGGGGAGCCAACGCTGCATCTTAAAGCAGGGCAGGGGGGTAAAGCAAGGATTTCTTTTTTTTCCCCTTTCTTTTTGTCTCTGGTGATGTGCTTCATTCATGGGTAGTTCAAGTAACTTCTTAATGGAAAACCTTTCTTAGGAAGTTTAGTTTTGGTTTCGGTGTGTGTATATTTCACACACATGAAACTCGTTTGTGACTTTCTCTCCTCCCTTCCCGCCCTATCCCAGAAATGGAATTTTCTATTGCTCACGTGAGTAAATTAGATAAACTGGGCATATTATTATGAAGGAGACTCTAGTCCTTTAAATGTTTCAGTTTTAATAATTGAAACGTGAATAAATTGATTTTGGTTTTGCCTTTCCTTTTTTTGTGTGGCGTTGCTTGTCAGTTAGCAAAACAAAGCAGAGAAAAAGTAACCCCGAACCCCAGTGCAGGAGGGGCCAGGTGTCAAAGCTACCAAGTTGAGATGTTGGTCAGGAATGCTGCCCCTTTTTCTGTGCAACCTCTAGGACATGTGGATAATCCTCAACCTGCAGTCTTGGTGGTAGAGGCAGCACCCAGAGATTGATGCAGAGCTCCCTGAGCACCCACGGGGATTGCTGCCCAGGGATGATGGAGGAGAAGTGCAGAAGAGATGTTTTCTTCCTGTCTTCCCATCTCCCTGCCCCTGCCAAACTCCCCAGACAAACGCAGACTGTGACCTATCATTTCCAGAGCAGCTCTGGATGACCCGCTGTGCTGAATTACAAGCCTGAGAAATGAGGGATTAATAATTCAGTGATTTAAAATCAAAATAATGTAAAATGACAACCAAAGCTACCCTGTTGATTTCCCCTTTCTTTTTCCTCAGATTGACCCTAAAGTTGCATTTCCCCGACGAGCACAGCCCAAGGTAAGTAGGAGGATCGATAATAGGATTTCAGGCACACAGAGAGTCATTGTTGCCAGGCAGTTCGGGTTTCAGCGGGGAATTGGCAATGAAAGCTTTAAAAGCCGAGTGCTGCTGGGGGGATCAGGGCGGGGCTGTGGCCCAGGGGGCTCCTGGGTGTCCCCGGGCCCGGTTCTGCGTGCTGGGCTCTGCCTGCCAAGAGTGTTTGGATTAAGTGCGGGCTTCGGGCTTGTTTTGAGCTGAGCCTTCAGTTCTGTGGTTGTGATGGATGGGGTATATCTCTGCCTTCATTGTTTGCAAATTTTCTTTTGTATAACTCGAGATGTGTGTGCAGAGCTGTGTGTGAGCCTCGGATGGGAAGGTTGTGCTGAGCTCTGGGGGCCATGGGTTGTTCTGCAGGAGAGGGGAACAGTGAGGTGTGAGTGTCCAGCTGGCCAGAGCAGTGGCCCGGCGATGGTGTGGCCAGTCCTCACGGTGGCACAGGGACACTGTAGGGACACAGCCACCCCTGCCTGTGTGCTCCCTCCAAAAGCCACTGTGTGCCATTTCTCCTGGAGGAGCTGCCTGTGGTTGTTGCTCTTTAGGTTGTGCCTAATGAAAACAAATCAGCTTCAAAGCCAGACTTGCAGCGTGTGAATTTTGAAAGCCGGAGGCTGAAAGAAAACTTTTGTAATTGACTTTTTTTTAATTTGTTTTTGAGAGTCTATTGGAAAAACTTAATTTAACTGATGTATGGCACTTGTGTACGCACTTGTCATCTTGGGTAACTTCAGTCTTCTGCTAAAAACAGGAGGAAAAGGCTGCAGAGTTGTAGATGCAAGTCAATAAGGAAAAGTGGTTTAAAGTTGGTGGTGGGAAACTGCCTGACCAACGGCCTGAACTGTTATTGCATACAGCTCCTCGTGAAAGCAAGCAGTGAAACTGTGTGTGTTGAACCATGATGTGAAGTATTGCACAAAATAGGCGTCTAGGAAAAACCCTGTGTCATTTAAAACCCCCAGGCATAGCTCAGGAGAGGTGCTGGGGAGTTCTTAAAAAGAAAAAAAAAAAAAAAAAGAGAACAAACCCCAGCGGCCTACTCACAGAATTTTAAACCAGACTAATGTAGGCAAATGTTTAGAGGTTCTTTTCTTCCTAGGACATATCTAATAACTAATTGGTGAATTAAAGTGTGCCTGGCTTGCTTCTGCACTGAGCAAAGAGTTTATAGTGCGTGGGGCTTGTGGCTTCTGGATTATGTTGTTGCATTGATGCCATCTGTAATATGCAATTTAAAATTACCAGAATTTTGATCTTGTGCTTGATGTGCCTATCCCCCTTCCCAATACCTTTTAAAGGTTAATTTATATTTTAAACTGCCTTCAGTGCCAGTTATCTGTTTCTGCAGTGTTATTTGGAGAAGTTTGTAATGCTTACAACAGAGCTGTTAAGCCGTCCCATGTGATGTTTTTTCTAACAATTAAAAAAACCAGGGCACGTTTTACATCGAGAATATTAGTGAGTTAAATTTTTGTGTTAAAGAACGAAAAATCAGGTCATATTTACAAAGGGGATTTTGTTTTTCTACACGTAGGGTTTTTTCCCTTAGTTTTTGGTAACAGACATCTTTCAAGCGTGGGGCAAATGCTGGAATGGACGTAAAATTCCACTCTTAGCAGGAACTTGCTCTCTCTGGAGAGGTCAGCAGTGGCTGTTGCTGCTTTTTACACAGTTGTCCTTTCTAAAGTGTTGCGATTTCTACAGGGCACTTGAAAAAAAACGTGAAGACTGAAAACAGCCTGATTTGGAGACTGGAGAAAATCAGATGCAATAAAGAGCAGATTTTACATCAATTATGATGTATTATTCTGGCAGGCATTTCATAATCTGAATATTTTGTTTTCTGTTTTTTTAATTAGATACTGAATTAAGGTTTTGGACTTTAGTTGTTCATTTATCCCAGTTGAATAGCAAATGCTCAGCGTTAAAATGTGACTGTACTTTAGTCTAATTAACTAGCTAATGCTCGGGTCTGTGGAGATTAATGGCATTTAATGAAATGTCTCTGTCTCTCTCTAGGTGCAAGGGGAGAATTCGTTTTTTGTTTTTGTGGGGGGGGGATTTAGTGGTTTATTTATTTTTTTTTTTTTCTCCCGAGTAATCTTCCTTGCCCTCCTGATCCACGGAAATTGCCCAGCCCAGTAAAACTCTTTTCTTTCGGGCTTTTTAAACCACATCTCCTCGCTTTGACACCTCTCTGGTGATGCAAATTGGCTCCCGAGCAAGCAGTGGCAGGTTGTAAGAGCCCAGCGTTCTTCTGATTTCCTTCGAGTGACCCTCGGAGAATCCTCGCTGATTGCCTGCAGTGGATTACGGGGGTGTGTAATCCTGCTCTCCTTGTGAAAGCCAGGACCACTTGAAGCCATTGTTTTAGGAAATGTGCTGCAGGCTTTAACTCCGTGGTGAATGTGTCTCCTTCCTCGGGGCTGCTGTTCCTTGATAAAAATCTGTCTTGCTTCTGAGTGCTGGAAGGCACTCTGTAACAGGAGATCATTTATAACTCTGCTGACTTAAAAAACCCTTAAAACACACCGGTGATGGGGCACCAATAGTTTTGTACCCCACTTTTGAATATTGAAGACTACAATAATTTGACTTACTGTTATACCTAGCCTGCCATTTCTGATGTTACCTGCTCTGTTGGTTTGGAGAAGCCTTATCCAATTTAACAAGTTCATTAGATATTCTCAAATGTAAGCAATTTCCTCCCTCCTCTGCCTTAGGGATTTATTTCAAAAACAAACCAAACCTGAAGAGCAAAAGGACAGCAGCCTCTGTCAATGAAGTAGCTCCTAGGCCATGAAAATGTCTTTGGTGTGGGAATTTGGATGCTTTGTTGTGCAGAGCCGTGCATGAAGCCGAGGCCAGAGCTGACAGTAGGGGAGGCTGCCCAGGGAGGTGTTTTGTGCTCGGCTTCCTGCACGCTGGCACTGAGCTGTTTGTTCCTCCTGCACTTCCTACGTGTGCCTGGGAGTTGCTCCCAGCTCTACAAGCTGGAGCTGCCTGCAGGAAGGTGTGTGGCACTCCTGAGCCCTGCTGTGCTCTGGAGCCTTCCTGGAATGGAAGGGAAGGGGCAGGGTAGGAAACTGCTGCTGCGGGGGTCACTGGTGGCACTGCCCGGCTGGTGTCCTGTCTGCTGCTGGCCCCGAGTGCAGGCGGCCACTGCATATTTTAATTGGGGGTTTGATCTGCGTGGATTGGGTATGGAACATGTGGCCATTTGGTCACAAAGCAGCAGGACTCGATTTGGTGAGAGAGGCTGGGGGTGCAGCACACCAATGTCTTCATTAATGTGTCACTGTCACAGGGGCTGGTGCAGGGCTGTCCTGGCCCCTCTGTGCCACAGCCAGTCCCAGATGTGCAGGGTGCCCGTGGCCAGCTGTGTTTCCTGTCTGGCTGGGCACGTGGGCTCTGAGCAGTTGTGCACATCTGGCCCTTCTTCTTGGACGAGAGGCAGTGTCAACAGCTCTCCTTTCATGTGAGACTCTGCTGGTTAAAGCCATGTGGAGCTGCCTGTTCCAGAGCAGCAAATGGAGGGCATGCCCTTTCAGGATAACACCCAGGCTAACCTGGGATTTTTTTTTTAAAGCTAACCAGTGGATTTGGATGTCTGATTCCAATTAAGTTGACTGTGGGTGGGGTGTCTGCGTCCCTTGGCTGTCTGATAAGCCTCAGCCAGAGTAGCAGGGAGAGATTTTATTCCAAAGCAAATGATGGACCTTGAAAATCAAGAGTTCTGTTTGTTTTCTCCCCCACTTCTGCCTGTAAACTCCTCCAGTTTAGTCCTACCACTTCTCATCTTATTTTAGGTGTTAGGTAGCCTTTGAAGTTTTTTTTGGTTTTTTTTTGTTTTTTCTCAAAAGAATGTGAGCTGGACTCAGTAGCAGAACTCAGGATTCTTCCTTTATTGCCACCTTTCCTTCCCTACCAGGCTGTAAAGAGCAGCAAGGTCAGACTTTTTCCAGATGACTTTTTAAAATTCTTTTTAGATTCCCCTGCATTTGCAGGTCTGGGTGGAGTAAGGGAGGAAGTGTTTCTTGCTCTTGGCATCAGGCACAGATGTGTAGCTTGATAATAATCATGGTATCATCTGTGTGCAGAGCAGTGTGAAGTCCTTCCCAGATGGTGTGGGGGATTTCTCTGGGTGTCCACAGCCACTGTTTGGGTGTCTTCAGCCAACCCTGATGTGGATCCCTTGTCCAGGGTAAGCTGCTCCTAGAATTTGCTTCCCTCTGGCATTGGATGGTCCGGTGGAAAAGTTTGAGTCAGAGCCTTGGCTGATGAATGCAGCTCCAGGCAGGGGAGGATCAGGGTTTGAAACCCCTTGTCCTTGGGCTGGGGTTTGTGCTCTCTGTCCTTGGATGTCACAGCCAGGGGAGCAAGGGCTGTGCAGGGCCCTCTGTGGAGTGCAGTGAGTTCTGTCAGAAACAAGAGCTGAGCTGGATTTTTGTGACTCTGTTGTTTTTTGGAGATGTAAACATTTATTTCTTCTCCCCAATCACTCAGGTAGATTGTTCATGTTGTCCTGAATCCCCACAGACTGTCTTGTACTTGTTAAAATGTCTGTATTTCCATTCTCATTGCCTAAGGATGTCTTTCATGTTAAGAATAGTCCTAATGTACTTTCCTTCCCTTTGACATACTGCTAACTAAAAATTAAAATTGAACACTGTGTAACATGGGATTTTTTTAAAAGGAGGTTCTACATTGCCTGTGTTTTCCTGTATTGGTGGATTAGTTTTAATGGCATCTACCAGGTGACTTTTGTGCACTTGTATATGCCAGGAAAGGTTCTGTGGTAGGGAGGTCAGGGAAATGGAAGGAGAGCAGCATGCTGACACCCCTGCATCCCCCTCTGCTTCCAGATTGAGTACATCTCCTCTGCAAAGTGCTGAGCCTTTATCAGCCCGGGGGTAGGTCTACTAATGACTGATCTAAAACCATCAAATTCATTTATTTGTCAC